TATCTGATGGGTGCTCCATCACTGAAGGTTTTAAGACCTTCAGAATGGTATAAGGTCTGCTCGAGCAGGGGGTTGGATTAGAAGACCTCTAAGATCCCTTCCAACTCTGTTATTCTGTTAATTATTCAGTGGAACAGCTTGCCTCCAGAAGTTGTGGCTCCATCACTGGAAGTTTTTAAGAAGAGATTGGACAAACAGTTTGTCCAGTATGGCATAGGATCTCCTGCTCAAGCAGGAGGTTGGACTAGAAGACCTCCATGGTCTCTTCCAGCTCTGTTCTGATTGAGAGCTGCCAGCTCACATCTTCAGGCACCAGAAACGGCTTCTCCTCCCACCCTCCTTGCGGTGTGTACTCCTGAATTCTCAGGGGTGTCCGCCGGAGGCCGTTCCTTCTCTCCTTTCTTTTTACTACCCTTCTTGGCGGCATGTCTCGCAAAGCCTTTCGTAAGCGCGATCGAGATTTATTCTAATTGCTCCTCAAACATATTTAGCATTTAGAAGCGATCAAAGCGGCAGGCAAGTAGGTTAACGTGATGGAGAGCCCAGCCATTCGCACCGTCTCTGCGTCTCAAGAGGGAAAGCGTGCTTAGATGCAAAGTGACGGTGACTCTAATCACACTGGCGACGAACATGGTGAGAGGCTTAATGCACTGTTCAGGATGGTTAAGGAAAGACTGGACAGTCAGTTGTCTGACATGTTATAGAGCAGTGATGGCTAACCTTTTCGCCATCGCGTGCCAAAAATGGGGAAAGCACAGGGGGATCGTGCACATGTGTGCCCACACCCATAATTCAATGCGCCCCGCCCCCTCGCGCATGTGCTTGCAACCCCCCTGTGCTTTCCCCGCTTTTGGCACGCGATGACACAGTGGGCCTGGTAGGCCTGTTTTTTGCCCTCCCCAGGCTCCAGAGGTTTTCTAGGAGCCTGGGGAGGGCGAAAACTGCCTTTCCCACCTCCCCGGAGGCCCTCCAGAGGCCGGAAACAGCCTGTTTCCTGACTTCTGGTGGGCCCAGAAGGCCAAAAATCAGCTGGTCGGCACACTCATGTGTGCTGGAGCTGAGCTAGGGCAATGCTTGTGTGCCCACAGATATGGCTCCGCGTGCCACCTGTGGCACACGTGCCATAGGTTCGCCATCACGGGTATAGAGTCTCCTGCTTGAGCAGGGGGTTGGATTAGAAGACCTCCAAGGTCCCTTCCAGATCTATTCTATTCTAATTCTAATGATTGCATCCAGAGATTTGGGTTTCTGCAGCTTTTTTAAAAATGGGGAAACGTCCTCGACGTACGACCACAATGAAGCCCACAGTTTCCATGACAATTCTTCAGGGAGTTTTGCCCTATTTTACGATCTTCCTTGTCGCCGTTGTTCCGTGAATTACTGCAGTTGTTAAGTTAGTAACGTTCTTGTGAAGTGAATCTGGCTTCCTCCTTGACTTTGTTTGCCAGAAGGTCTCAAAAGGGGATCGCATGACCCCGGGACACTGCAACTGTCATAAATATGAGTCAGTTGCAACTGCTAACTTGGGAAAATGGTTGTTTATTTATTTATTTATTTATTTATTAGATTTTTATACCGCCCCCTCTCCCGAAGGACTCGGGGCGGTGAACAGCCAAAGTTAAAAACATACAATATAAACAATTAAAATACGTTTAAAACAGAATTAAATCTAAAATGGCTCCCCAATTTAAAATGCCTTACCCATACCCCTATAAAAAGACGAATTTAAAATTTAAAAATTTAAAAATTTTGTTGTTAAGTGTTGTTAAGTGAATCAGGCTTCCCCATTGACTTTGTTGGTCAGAAGGTCGCAAAAGATGATCACGGGACTTCAGGACGCTACAACCGTCATAAATACAGGCCAAGGACAAGCGTCCGAATTTGATCACATCACCACGGGGAATGCTGCAACGGTCTTAAGTGTGAAGCACGGTCATCAATCTCTCTTTTTTCGGTGCTGTTGTAACTTTGAACTATCCCTAAATGAGTGGTTGTGAGTTGGGTATGCAGTTTGGTTCAAAGGAAAGAAGGATGGGGTTTATGACATTACCCCTGCTCATGAGTGAGTTGGGCAGTCATCTAAATGTTCTAAATGTTCTAAATGAATGAATGAATGAATGAATGAATGAATAGATGGATGAATGAATGGATGAATGAATGAATGAATGTGTTGTGGTCCGCCAGCAGCCTGCGGAGCTGGCGCCGGAGTCAGACAACGATGAGGCTGAGGAAGAACATGGGCCAGTCCTGGAGGCAGATGAGGGCTCTGCATCGGAGGCAGAGATGGGGCCAGGGCCATCGGGGAGTGATGTGCGGACTCCAGAGGCTCCAGAGGCTGACAGCAGAGAGCCAGAGGAACAGGAGGAGCCTGTTCCTAATGCACGTATGAGAAGAGCTGCCAGAAGGCAGGAGCAGATAAAGCAGAGAGGACAACTCAGGAGTAGGGCCAAGAGATGATTGGCCCCTCCCATAAGGCTTAAAACAAACCAGCAACGGCTCTTGGCCTCTTTGCTGGAAAACAACGTTGAGAGAATTGCTTCTTGTTTCACTGTATTCATTTCTTATCGGCGTCTTCTGCTTCTGAACTTTTGCCAAGAAAAGCCTTTGGCAGTTTGCCTAATTATCCCAAGGTCGTCGATAAACTGAGGAATGGTGTTTTGAAGAATTTGCTTTAATTTAGTTTGGAATACGCTGAGAATGAGTTAATTCTGAGCTGTTCTAATAAAGTTTGTTTGTTTTCGAACTGTTTTTATTTAATACTAATTACTTGGGCCTGGGTCACAACAGAATGAATGAATGAATGAATAAAAAAATAATAAATAAATAAATAATATATATATTTGCAGGACCGTCTTCTGCTGCCAATAGCCTCCCACCGACCAGTATGCTCCCACAAAGAGGGTCTCCTCAGGGTGCTGTCAGCCAGGCAATGTCGGCTGGTGACCCCCAAGGGGAGGGCCTTCTCTGTGGCAGCTCCTACCCTCTGGAACAATTTGCTCCTGGAGATACGAAGGATATCGGATCTCCGGGTCTTTCGCCGTGCCCTAAAAACTTTTCTTTTCCATCAAGCAGGGCTGGCGTGAAACCCCCACCCCCCCCCCCTTCCCACCTTTCCTAGCTTTTTTAGTTTTTTAAATTGTCAATGGGTTTTAGTTTGAATATTTTAAATTTTGGGGCCAAAATTATGAAATTCTTTTAAAAATTTTAAATTTTGTATTGGTATGTGTTTTAGTTTTGGCTGTACACTGCCCTGAGTCCACTAGGAGAAGGGTGGTATACAAATTGAATAAAATAAAATAAAATAAATAATAAATATATAAACAGTCCTTTACAAATCAGGAGACTTAATAAAACAAAGGAGACCATTGTAGATTTTAGAAAGAGCCGGCCTGGTCATACTCCACTCAGTATCAAGGATGCAGCTGTAGAGGTGGTCCACAGTATTAAGTATTTGGGGGACCAGATAACTAACAATCTGAACTGGTCGCTCCACCTGTCATCCTTAGTGAAGTGTGCAAATCAGCATCTGCATTTCCTGTATCGGAAGAGGACAGCACACCTTTTCCTTTCTGTCCTGGCCACTTTTGACAGAGGCACAATTGAGAGCGTTTGATCAAACTGCATCCCTGTTTGGTTTGGTGGCCCCGGTGCCTCAAATAGAAAGTCCCTACAGAGAGTGGTGGGGACAGCAGAGAAGATGATAGGAAGCTCGCTTCCCGTCATTCAGGATGCTGCTCATAAGCGCTATGTGCATAGAGCTCAAAGCATTGTTAGAGACCCTGCACACCCACTCCACGGTCTGTTTCTGTTGCTCCCCTCTGGGAGGAGGATTTGAAGTATCTCTAGCAGGACTACCAGATTCTGTAACAGTTTTGTTCCCTAGGCCATTCGTCTGGTAAATTTGTAAGATTTGTTTTTCTCGCCATGCACGTGTATACTTCCGAAGTAGACTGGGTTGTTTCTCTGTATCATAGAATATATGTGGGTATATGCATAATTTTGCATTTATTTATTCTGAGCAGTTTGGTGAACTGGTTGTTGGAAGAAATCATTAAGGCAGAGAACCGGTTGTTAAATTATTTGAATCCCACCACTGGATATAAGGTCTATTCGAGCAAGGGGTTGGATTAGAAGACCTCCAAGGTCCCTTCCAACTGTGTTATTCTCCTAATTATTCAAGGGAACAGCATCCTTCCAGAAAAACCTACATCACTGGAGGTTTTTAAGAAGGACAGCTGTTTGTCCAGAATGTTATGGGTTTTCCTGCTCGAGCAGGGGGTTGAACCAGAAGAGCTCCAAGGTCCCTTCCAACTCTATTCTGATTGATCGATCGAATTAATAATTAAATATGGTAATTATTCCGTGGAACAGATTGCCTTCAGAAGTTGTGGGTGCTCCATCATTGGAGGTTTTTAAGAAGAGGTTGGACAAACAGTTTATCTAGAATGGTATAGGACCGTGATGGCGAACCTATGTCATGGGTGCCACATGTGGCATGTGGAGCCATATTGGTGGGCACGCAAGTGTTGCCCTAGCTCAGCTCCAGTGTGGATGTGTGCACCAGCCAATTGATTTTCAGGCCTTCCGGTCCCACCGGAAGTCAGGAAACTGGCTGTTTCTGGCCTCCGGAAGGCCTCCGGGGGGATGGGGAAGGCTGTTTTTGCCCTCCCCAGGCTCCTAGAAAGCCTCTGGAGCCTGGGGAGGGGAAAAAACGGGCCTACCGAGCCCACTGGGCCATCACGTGCCAAAAGCAGGGGCAAGTATGGGGGGGGGTCACGTACACATGTGTAGGAGGGCGGGGCGCATTGAATTATGGATGTGAGCATCTGCACCTGCGACCCCCCCCCGCTCCCCCGCTTTTGGCACGCGATGGCAAAAAGGTTAGCTCAAGCAGGAGGGTTGGACTAAAAGACCTCCAAGCTCCCTTCTAAGTCTGTAATTCTGTACTCCGTGAATCCTTTCTAAATGGTGCTTCTTTTCTTTCCTCTCTCTCTTCACAGATGAACAGGCCAATCCAGGTGAAACCAGCGGACAGCGAAAGCCGAGGAGGTAGCTGATTTCTTTCTTTATAGCTTCTGGCATGGTGATGTGACATTGTTAGGTTTGTGGGATTTTCGAGCTGCGTGGAGATCCGTTAGTAACACAATCTGCCTCCACACCCAATTCTCGAGACAGCTCTTCATTAAATCGCCTTCAGGTTGCGTCGCCGTGGCTCATATTCAATTATTATTTGATTTTTTTTTAAAAAAAGGGACCGATAGTTGCTTAGGAAGCAGCTAGGAATCCCTGTTAAGAAACACACACTTGGGTGTTGACTTAGCAAAAGTTTTATGATTGCCACCTTGATTTGTTGGTGTGTTTTTCTAAGGCTGAGCTGTTGACCATCATGTGAGTTTGTTCGGTCCTTGTTCTTTCATTTCATGGTTTAAGGGGGAATGAAAGCAAGGTTTGACTTTATGGGCCGCCGAAGGCCTTGTAATGATTTGATGTTGCTTTTTATCGGTCCTACCACATCTTAATCAAGGTGTGTTAAATCACTGGCTAACTTTCTGCTTGTAGTCCAATTATAACATCACCCAACGAGATTGGTTGTTTCCTTTGGGAGCACAGCGTCACGATCTATCTATCAAAATTTGAAGAAGAAAAAATGTTGCAAAATGGCATCTATTTTATTACTAAGATTTGCGAGTGGGGTGGAGTGGTGCGGTGGCCTGGAGGTGGAGCTCTGGCCTCACAGTCAGGAGGCTGTGAGTTCGGTCCTAGGTGGAGGCAGATATTTCTCTCTCTGAGCACACTGAGAATATATCTGCTGAACAAAACTCCACATTGGCAACAGGAAAGGCATCTGGCCAGTAAACACTCTGCTAACTCCATTCAGTTGCCCAGGCTCCACCCCGCAAGCGATTATGGGGTCATTAAAAGAGGATGATGATTTTCCTGTGGGATGATAAGGATGGTTTAGAGGGCTTAACAGATTTGTGGAATATCTGGGGGAAAAGAGCACCAGATATCTCGATGGACCAGTTTTTTGTTCTTTCGCTAATCTTTCAGATATTTTGTATGATGCCAGTTGGTTGAATTTGTGTTGTGTTGCTGGTTGTGTTATCTTCTGTGTCAGAACTGGAATTTGCTAGCAGGCAGCCCAGATATTAGGGTGTCTACACGGAGAGTCAAAAAATCTTGAGATGATGGACTTGAATCACACAGAGAGGGTGAACATCTGGAAAGAATTTGACCCACCCAGTGGAAGGTCCCTGACAGATTCCCAAAAGGGGCTAAGGAAAACAGGTGTTGAACTGTTGCAGTTTTGGAGAATACATGTGCAATGCTGATTTTATCTTGGAGGGATTATGGATTGCTCACCCCTCATCAACCACGGTGGGCAAATATTAGGGATGTATCAATTAGCCCTGGTCCAATTGGAACCAATAATCCACTTTGGGGGGGGGGGGAAAGAAAGAAAGAAGTCAGATACAGAGTTTTGAGTTAAAGCCCAGGATAAACTGGATTCAATCCAGAAAATCTGATTGAAAAGAAAAAGAGAAGAGAGAGGGGGGGGAGGGAAGAAAGAGAGAGAGAGAGAAAGCAAGCAAGTGAAAAAAGAAAGAAAGAAAGAAAGAAAGAAAGAAAGAAAGAAAGAAAGAAAGAAAGAAAGAAAGAAAGAAAAGGAAGGAAGGAAGAGGGAGGGGGAAGAGAGAGAGAGAAAGAGAGAAGGAAAAAGAGAGAGAAAGAAAGAAAGAAAGAAAGAAAGAAAGAAAGAAAGAAAGAAAGAAGAGGGAGAGGGGTGAAGAGAGAGAGAGAAAGAGAGGAAAAAGAGAGAGAAAGAAAGCAAGCAAGAAGAAAGAAAGAAAGAAAGAAAGAAAGAAAGAAAGAAAGAAAGAAAGACGCCAGTGACCACCTGCTTGTCAATTCAATACAGATGGTTGATCCAATTTAGAATAACAGTTCAGTTTAGAGATTTAAGAACTGTTCCAATATGTCCTCATCATCACTTGTATTGCTCCCCTTAGTCTGACTGTGTCAGCTATTATGTCTTTAGAGTTTGCGTCTTGCCTTTTTTAAATGTTGGAAATATTGTCTCCTACCTTCTCTAGGAGTTTAACACGCTGGCCAAAGTGCCTTGATCTGACCTGGGGGTGAGTGGGAAAAGAGAAAAGGGGGAACGACATGGGAAGGGTCAAAGGCCAGCTCCCACAATACAATAACCTAAGCCCCAATATGGGGTATGAGTATTCCTGTCTGGAATTAATGTGGATTAAGCCGCCCTGGGTTACCTCATCATGAGATGGGCGGCAAGCAAATTTAACAAATAAATAAATGTAATTAATTAATGCACTGCGGGGACCGGATCAAGGAGTCAGTTGACCAGTAAATTACCTCCAAGGGTTAAATTTTAACAAAACAAAATCATGCTTGAGGTTAAATGAACTGGTTATTTGTGGGAACATCTAAACTGGATTAATAAACTTGGTTTGTTTATAGCTTGTTATTTGTATGTACACTTGAGAGCTTCTGCACCGGAGACAAATTCCTTGTGTGTCCAGTCACACTTGGCCAAATAAAGTATTCCATTCCAATGGAATGGAATGGAATGGAATGGAATGGAATAGAATAGAATAGAATAGAATAGAATAGAATAGAATAGAATAGAATAGAATAGAATAGAATAGAATAGAATAGAATAGAATAGAATATAGAATGAAGAATATGGAATGGAATGGAATAAAATATAATAGAAAATATGTAATGGAATAGCAATAGCACTTAGACTTATATACCGCTTCACAGTGCTTTTACAGCCCTCTCTAAGTGGTTTACAGAGTCAGCCTCTTGCCCCCAACAATGGGGGCAATGGCCCCCATGGATGACTTGAGCCTGCTGAGATTCAAACTGCCAAATTACAGGCAGCTGGCAGTCAGCAGAAGTAGCCTGAAGTACTGCACGTGAACCACTGTGCCACCATGGCGGAAGGAAGGAAGGAAGGAAGGAAGGAAGGAAGGAAGGAAGGAAGGAAGGAAGGAAGGAAGGAAGGAAGGAAGGAAGGAAGGAAGGAATAGCAATAGCACTTAGACTTATACACCACTTTTACAGCCCTCTCTAAGTGGTTTACAGAGTCAGCCTCTTGCCCCCAATAATCTGGGTCCTCTCTTTACCCCCCATCGGAAGGATGGATGACTTGAGCCTGCTGAGATTTGAACTGCCAAATTACAGGCAGCCGGCAGGCAGCAGACATAGCCTGCAATACTGCATTCTAATCACTGAGCCACCTTGACTAGAATATGGAGTGGAGTGGGGTAGGGTAGGGTAGGGTAGGGTAGGGTAGGATAGGATAGGATAGGATAGGATAGGATAGGATAGGATAGGATAGGATAGGATAGGATAGGATAGATAGGATAGGATAGGATAGGATAGGATAGGATAGGATAGGATAGGATAGGATAGGATTGGATTGGATAGGATAGGATATGGAACAGAACGAACAGAATGGAACAAAATTTTATTCAAATTTGTCCATGGTAGAACTCACTGTCCACCTCGGCATGATAGAACACAACCCAACTCCTGACAACTGTTAAGCTAGGTCGATGTTTCTCAACCTTGGTGACCTGAAGATGAGTGGACTTCAACTCCTAGAATTCGCCTGCCAGCAAAATTAGACTCATCCATCTACACCCAAGTGTCAAGATTAGCAAAATGTGAGTTCCAACAGGAATCAAGCGGAAATGAGGGGAAGGATGGAGAGCGGTCCAGTTTGAGATGTCCACATCAGGAAGAATTGAAGGAAACCAACCAGACTGGCTGGGGAATTGCTGGGAGTTGAAGCCCACGTGTCTTAAAGTTGCCAAGGTCGAGAGACCCGGGTGGGTCCCGACAATTCAGCCAGGACATTGCATTTGTTCTCTTCTGGGAGGACAACTGGGGGCGTGGCAAAGTGTCGATCTGCTGGTGTGCCAAGGATGTTTGCTTTGGAGTTCACACAATAGGTCGAATTTGACTGCCACGTGATCACTTTCAGAGTTGAGTAATTTGCTGATTTAACAGCTTGAGCAGGTTTCATTCATTGTCTGCAAGAAATGGACAACGTTGCCAAGAAAATCACTTCTGTTTGCAAACCGCCTCAGGTTAAACTCTGTGGGTCTGTGTGTGGGTTTGTGTATACACTTGCATCTATCTATCTTCCTTCCTTCCCTTCCTTCCCTTCCTCCCTCACATTTTCCTTTCTTCCTTCCTCCCTTTCTTCCTCTGACACTCCTTCCTTTCCTTCCTCCTTCTCTCCTTCCCTTGTCCCCTCCCTTCCATCTTTCTTCTTTCTCTCCTTCCTTCCTTTCATTGTTCCTCTCCTTCCTTTCTTCCTGCCTGCCTTCCTCACTTCCTTCCTCCTTCCTTCCTTCCCTCCTGTCTCTCCGTCCTTCCTTCCATCTTCCCCTCCCTTCCATCTTCGTTTGTTCGTTCGTTCGTTCCTTCCTTCCTCCTTCCTCCTTCCTTCCTCCCTTCCTCCCCCTCTCTCTCATCCTTCCTTCTCTCCTTCCTTCCATCTTCCTTCCCTTACATTTTCCTTCCTTTTTTCTTTCCTTCCTTCCTTCCCTCCTTCTTCCTTCCTTTTTTTCTCCCTCCCTTCCTCTCATCCTCCTTTTTTCCTTCCTTCGATCTTCCTTCCCTTATATTTTCCTTCCTTCCTTCTTTCTTTCCTTCCTTATTCCCTTCCCTCCCTCCCTCTCATCCTTCCTTCTCTCCTTCCTTCCATCTTCCTTCCCTTGCATTTTCCTTCCTTTTTTCTTTCTTTCCTTCCTTCCTTTCCTCCTTCCTTTCTTCCTTCTTTCCTTCATTTCTTCTTTTCTCCCTCCCTCTCATCCTCCCTTCTTCCTTCCTTTCATCTTCCTTCCCTTTCATCTTCCTTCCTTTATATTTTCCTTCCTTCTTTCTTTTCTTCCTTCCTTCCTTCCCTCCTTCCTTCTTCCCTCCTTCCTTCTTCCTTCCTTCCTCCCTTTCCTCCCTCCCTTTCATCCTCCCTTCTTCCTTCCATCTTCCTTCCTTTATATTTTCCTTCCTTCTTTCTTTTCTTCCTTCCTTCCTTCCTTCCTTCCTTCCTTCCTTCCTTCCTTCCTTCCTTCCTTCCTTCCCTCTCTCCTCCCTCCCTCCTTCCCGGTTGCTCCTTCCTGTGGAACCTGCTCCTGCAGGGGGAAAAACCCATACTCAGTTCCATTCTTTCCAGTGTTAAAAAGAAGAAGAAGAAGGAATAACTGGCTTTTTCCAACTCTATTAATGTTAATAGCGCATTTAACATGCATTTGTCTTAGATAGGTATATATCATCCGTATACACACAGCATTTTATGGAATAGTATAAATAGTATAACAAGACAAGCTCTCTGCTTTAATGAACGTAGAATCTAAATTTAATAGAGGAGAGCGGTGGAGAAACCTTAGATCCTTTTTGCTTAGCTTCCTCACCAAAAAAAGAATTCATTACAAAGATACCCAAATTAACAAGCGGATTGTACGTTAGCATTTCTCTAATTTTCGTTTTTAAACAAACCTGGCCATATGCAGGATGGTGTGTGTTTTTTTTTTTTTTTACAGACTTGGAGATTACTTTTCTTTTAAAGAAAATGTGATTTGTATGTTCCGAGAAGGAATAGAAATTGTGGCCATGAACTGCGTAAAATTAAACATTTGCAGCAAGAGAAGTACGTAGATGGAATGAATTTGATTAGCTCCATCAGAGTATTTGTATCTTAGTCGATACCTTATCAGCACTGTAAACCCCCAGAAGCTACAAGCTGGTTTAAGCAAATTAAATTGTATGTTATATGAATTTTTGGGGAGGGGGGGGAATATGACAGGAATATGAATGTGCGATCCTTTCCAAACCAGGCAGCCTTAGGCTGGTACACTGCAAGCAGGGATGGGATTCAGCTGGTTCAGACCGGTTCGGAAAAACCGGATGCTAATTTTACATCTGGTTCACTGAACCGGTAGTTGCAAGGAATGGCTGGCCCTCTCACCCTGCCCCGTCCCTCCCAAGAGTCTCCATGTGACCCGTTTTGAGGCTCTGGGAGGGGGAAAACCGGTCGTTCTGGAAGTTCCGGAAGTCTGGAAATGAGCCCATTTCCAGCCTTTGGAGGACCTCGGGAGCCTGGGGGAGGCCATTTTCACCCTCCCAGAGGCTCAAGAAAAGTCTCCGGAGCCTGGGGAGGGCGAAAAACAGGCCTCCCGGAAGTTCAGGCTGGGGAATTCTGGAACTTGAACTCCACTTTATCTTCAAGTTGCTAAGGCTGAGAAACACTAGGTGGTAACCAGGGGTGGGTTCTACTTACCGTAACTACCGGTTTGCAGCGGGGCCGCGTGCTTGCTTTGCTCACACGCGCTCTTCTGTGCATGCGCAGAAATGTTTTGATGACGTCGGGGTCGGTGGGCGGAGCCTCCCGCCGGTTGTACTACGGGTTC